ATTTGAAGCGTCGGTCGCATCGCGGCCGAGGCAGCGCGCTGTGGGTTGCAGTTCAGTTTCCAGCTGCTGACCGCACGATTCAGAGGCAAAACGAAGACTGAAAGCGCTCAGTTGGCGCACTCGTTGTTATATACGCGAAGCCACCCCCGAGGACCACAGGACCAAAGCCGGAGCACAGGTCCTTCGTCTATGGTCGGCTAACAGAGGCACGACCATGTGGTGGTGCGTGGTGAATTGAGTGTCCTCTCGTGCGGCCTCAATGCGAACCCCGATTGAGTCGTTGCCAGTCACAGATAATGGTTACCATGTGGATAGAGCTTCATGAAGGGAGCGCGCAATGCAACAGTTCCCTGCAAACTTCGAAAAGTCGATGCAGTGTCAAAGACCATGCATCCGATATCACATATTTGTTCTATGACTTTCAATGCAAGAGTTAAACATCCGATATCACATATTTGTTCTATGACTTTCAATGCAATAGTTAACTTGGATTTAGCTACTTTTACTAGACCAATAGTAACTACTGGTCGTGGTGTTAAATTAGATCAGACATAACATTCCCTGTTAAGTAACAGCCTGGGGCATAGCATTATCCGTGCTATAAAAACTTATCCGCTCTGACTGTTACGAAACGGTTAACACAAGACTGGCAGAAATGTAAAATAACAGATTTTCTCCGATTTCATGACATGGTTTGAGGCTGTTATGTTATCAACATTATTGCAATTGGGGTAGCAGACAACTAACAGTAGGACAGTTTTTTAACGGAACGGTTAACTTTGTTCTTTATGCTAAACTACAGAGAAATTGCTTCTCCGTTTTAATGGCATGTTGTAGGCTGTTTTGTTAATATCTAACATTAATGTGCAGCAGCCCAACAGTATGTTATAATGTTATCACCCATATCATTCTTAATGTAAAAATAGAATTGTGCTATTTCCGAGTATTACATTTCTATTCCTTCTTTTTCCACAGGTGTGGCTCTATAAAATACAATCAACCATCAAATGTCATTCGGTAAACAATTTAAAACCGCATGAATATCACAATATTGCAGTCTTGGAGCGGTGTTGTGGGGCGAAGGGAAATACAGCTCCATGGATGCAAGAAAAATGCTAAGAGTAGCGCATAAATAACAGTGCCACTATAAGAAGAGGGATCGTAGGGGGGCACGTATAGAATACACGGGTCACCAGCGACGACGAGAAATAAATTGTATTTAGTTGTACAATTTATGGCACCGGCCACCGCTAGGAGAGGGAGTAGCAAGAGGGGCGGTGGGATGGGGCATAGATAGCAAGGGGCTGCAGGCCAGCACATGCTTACATACACACACCCTTACACACACACACATGCATAATTCAATGCATGCTGCGAGGAGGGCATCACCGAAGGAACAGGCGGTGCATCTGGGGAAGAGTAGCCCCGGGGGCTACGTCGATTCCGCTGTAGCGCACTTTTGGCGGCATGTCCTTTGTTTCACTTTGTTATTTTGTTATTTTCAAATTATTTATTGGCCAACGAGCGGACGAGCGGGGAAGCGGAGAAGCGGAGACGGAGCTGCAGCTTCAGTACCATCTCCCGTCTACAGCTGGAAGGATCCGCATCGAGTCGTGAGGACTCCGAGACTCCGCGTCCCGGGCTTGAGCCCGGAGTCTGGAGCCCGGAGTCCGGGGCTAATGTGTAATTCAATAGAGTAAGTAATGTGCATCAATTTTCAGCTCAATAACGCATGGAATACAAATGTGAAACATGTGCAAATATGTGCGATGCGAGAGCTCGCTCGTTCGCTCAGAGACACAGACAAACATCCGCAGAAATAAATATCTAATAGCGCTATATCCCATCCTCCATCGTCCTTCGCCCTTGAACGCCCAGGGACTGCGAGGGAAGGCGAGTGCGAGTGCGGGTTCGACATTGTGTGACGCGTTTCCGTTTCCGTCTTGCGGTTCAATGTTGTTTGTTCTTTGCTCTTTGCTCTTTGCTCTCTCTCTCTCTCTCTCTCTCTTTCTAGCTGCCACTGGCCCAGCCACTGCCTCGCAGCTAGAAGCTCCCTTTTGTCTGCGTTTATTTGTTTTTGGTATTGTCATTGCCCCACCACCATTGCCCCCACCCCCCACTACTTTTCGCAAGAAAAATTGCAATGGTTTGGCAATTGTTTTTCTTTTTAAATGTGCAGCCAGCGATCGTGCGTGAATTTCTCTCTCCGTCTGTGGCGCTGTGAGTAATGTGAGACCTTCAATTGCGTGGAAAATTGAATTTTGCGGCAAATGCCTGAAATTTATGAGCAGTTATGCAACACAGCAGATGGGCGGCTCTCGAAGGAGATGGGGATATAGGGATATAGCGATATAGAGAGCAGTCCGCCATTTGCATAGCTGCGTTTTATTTGTCCACCGCACGCACAGACACAGGCACAGACACAGACACATGCGCAGCAGCTGCTGGCCACTTAGTGCAAACAAATGGGGGGAACCAAACAGGCCGGCAGCACTTCCACTTCCATTTCGGCCCCAGTCTATCGTTGGACACGGCCAAGATGCCAGCTTGCAGTCAAGTGCATTGTGGCAAGCAAATAAACAAACAATGCAACGGCCAGAGCGGAGCAGCAGGCCCTGCAACTGCGACTGCAACTCGTGACAGGGCACGCAACAAACTCAAGGACTGGACTCCTCAAAGTACACAGTACACAGCCTTCGAGGGGGTGGTACACATGCCCACGTCCGTGCCCCATCTGACTCTTGGGCCGCTTTCAGCCTTGGGATTTTTTTCAATTTCAATTTCACGCACGATTGCTACCAGGTTTGCGGTCTTCCTTAATCGGTTCCTGCGGTTATTGGATGCCAGAACTGTGACAAGCCCAAAGGAAATGTCCGCTTCTTGAAGCGATCCATCAAATAACCCTGTTTGCCTTTCAATGTTGCATGTTCCCCATGCGATAAATCCCTGCTGCCTCTTGGCCCACGCTCTGAAGAGACTGCGGTACGTGCTGTAAGTGGCAATTGCCACAACATAGTGTATGTGGAAGGAGCCCTCGTTCCCTCTCGCTGGCTGTTAATTAAAAATGTTGCCAGCAATTTCCTTTACAAGTTAGCCCCGACTTGAAGATTTATACCAGCTAATGGGTCGCTTGTCTGGCTCTGCCTCTGCCTCTGCCGTGCGGTCGGCCACAAGAATTTCAATTTGCCCAAGAAATTGCGGCCGCCAAGTCGCCCCCCAAGCCCAAGAGTGGCGCCCCAGAAGGTGGCTCTATGCTCCCTGCGCCTTTCTTTGCCACGTGTGTGGTCGTGTGTGTCTGTCCTATTGGCTCCTGTCAGACGAAAAGGGTCGAACGATTGCCCTCATGGTCTTCAGCTCCAGTTGGCAGCTAATCCGGCCATTTCCTTGACTTTGGCTTCGGCTTCGGCTTCGACCACAATTTACACCACGGCTGCAGCTCATAAATTTCCCAGAGTGGAAAATTGCTCAATTTATAACATTGCAAGGTGTTGATTGCACTCGATTCCATTCGAAAGTTGCCAACTGATTGGACTCCCTGTGCAGCCACACAAACGGACAGGAATGGGGTAAACCCAGGATCCGCTGATAGATATCTCAGGGGAGGGCTTCGGCATCGGCATCGGCATCTCCCATCCCCCATCCACCATCCTCTTATTAATTTGTTTATGCGACTCTAATCACTCACACCCAATCCGAGACGCAATCCCCATCGGGGCCTCGGTAGCTCTAATCCTGGGAAAAACCGCAGATCAGAACCGAAAGCAAACTTGACATTCCACTCATGTCGTTGCCTGTCCCTCTGTCTGCCGCATCCTAGTCCCACTTTCCCTCTCTCTCTCCCTCTCTCTGTCTCTCTCTCTCTCTGTCCGACAGTCCACAACAAATGTTCGAAAAATTTGTTAACATCAAAAAGTACATTAAAGGCTCAAGGAATGCGCTTTCGTGCGGAAATTGCTTACGTGCGTGGCATTAACAAATGACATGCCGCATGCTGCTCCGCATACGCCGCCGTATAAGACTCGTCCTTTGGGGGTGCGTCCTGCTGCAGACAGCATCCACGCTGTGGAACGTGTCGCCTTGTCGCTTTGTCGTCGGTGCCTCAGCCATTGGCCATCGGTGGTGGATTCGCGCCGCTCTTTGCCTTCTGCGCATGCTGCCGACTGCAACAAGTGTGGTGTGTTTTCCACATGGACTCTGCCATTCAGCGGCTCTGTTGGTGGCAACAGTGGAGTGGAGACTTTTCCTCCAGCCCTCCTCCTGTCTCCGGCAACTACTCGAATGGTGGCTCACGTAGCAGGCAAGCAGCAGTAGCCAAAGTTGAAGCCACTTCACAACAAAATAATTAAAAATTGAACACATACAGAGGACTGACACGGATAAATGACACTCGTTCGCCATGGAATGCAATGCGATCCCCAATGCAGAGCTCCCCTTAGCCATAGCTACAGCACAGCACCATCTCCTGCCACATCTCTGACTCCTGCCACAGTACGACACGCTGTCAGTAGTCATCTTCTGGTTGCTTTTCCCTCCTCGCAGCTGATGCTCATTTTACACACGAAACCAACAAAGGCCAAAGGCCACAGGCCACCCGGCAGCACGAACTCTGCAATCACCCAGCAGGAGATCCTGCCGTCTGCTCATCCTTGCAGTATCATCTCGCCTGCAGCTGCTTAAATAATTTTCGCGTTGGGGAGGCGTCGTCGGTTGCTGGGATATAAAATGTCAATAAGCTCCAATAACGCAATTGACAAGCTGAGACGGCAGCCGATGAGGCAACTCCACTTCCTGGCAGCTCCACTGTGGCAACAATAAACGGGAATGACGCTCGAATAAAGTTGGGGGCAAGGGTTATGGCAGGGACAGTGGCAGTGGCAGTGGCAGTGGCCATCCTGCCGTGTATTAACTTCCAGCATCCAGCATCGACATCTCGCGTTGCCCCAGGACCAAAGTCACATCCAGGACGAAGTAATTTCAAGCTTAAAGAAGCTCCAAATTGATTACGTAGCAAATGATGGGCACAGTTTTTATTGCAAAAAACAGAACTCGAAACTTCAGAGGCGCGCCTCCTGTTGCTGTTGCTGTTGCCTCATCTTCTTATTCGTGTTCCGGGTGTTCGAGGAGGAGGAGGAGGATCCGCCCGTCGGGAGTTCACACATCTCCTCCGAGGAGCGGCCAAGGACAATGCGCCTGCCTGACTTTGGTGTGCGTTCCAGGGATTTCTCCAGGGAGGGACGTGGCGTGGTTCGCAAACTGGAGACGGGAGTGCCGGCTGTGATGGGCTTCTTGTTGTTCCACACGCAGAGCACGAACCTAATCTCCTTCTTGAATGCCACCTTGAATGTGAGCTGTGGACGGAGCAAGTGAGACAGACAGAAGGGAATAGAGGGAATACTACTACTCACCCGCTCCTCGAGTGCCACCTGCTGCACGTAGACAAGGAACTCAGTGATGCCGATAAGGAAGGCTATCAGGAGGCCAATGTACAGGGTGTAGAATATCCCACGCAGCTCCTCGAATGTCATGTCGGGCGTGGCATCCGGATCGGGCTCTTCGAAGCAGGAGGCATTCGGGTTTTTCCACCACTTCTGCTTCAAGTCGTAGAGCTGCCCGCGCTCACTCAGGTGGAGGATGGCCACGCTGAGGTTGGAGCGGTACTCGGCCCCAAAGGGCACTGCTATGGCATAGTGCTTCTCCCCGAATTTCTCTCCGACGGAGCGCAGGTCGCAGTGCTGCTCGCGATGGTACTCCAGGGTCGTCGTCTCCATGAGGAACATGTAGTCGCCGCGGTTCTTCTGCACCCGATCCACGCCTTCGGCATTGTCCTTGGTGTAGGCCGAGGGATCGTCATTGTTCATGAGGTTAAAGGCCAGGCGGTAGGTGGTCTCGTTGGAGTCGGCCAGGAGGTTGTAGGTGCTTCCTCCGTAGATGGTTCCGAAATGCACCTCCTTCTGGCCGCTCAGATCCTTCAGATTGGCGATGCTCCCCTCCATCTTGGAGCTGGTGAGGAAGGCGGCCAGATTGGCGGTGTAGGAGTTGGCTATGATGATAGCAAAGATCCACCACGTGGCCTCGAACATCCGCACCTGTGGACTTCTCGGCAGGATGTCGCACCCAGCTGTCATGATGGAGGCCACCGTCAGCCAGAAGGTGTTGTGCAGATGCCACTGATTCTCGAGCACTTCCGGGTCCCGGTTGCAGGGATGCGGATTCTCCCACTCCGTCTTCGCAATGCGCGCCATGATGGCTTTCAGGAAGGTCATCACGAACACCGATATCAGTATCCAGATCCACACCTCGCCCCCAAAAGGTTGCAGATAGGCATCCAAGGCTTTCACCTTGTGGGGACTCTTGTACGCGAGGATGCTGACTCCAAGCTGCATGAAGGGCACCGTGAAGTCCACTGCGGTTCTCCGAGCCTGAGTGATGGTCAGGTCACAGATGCCCATGTGAGCGTCCTGGGGAGGAAGTCATCTTTGAGCATTGCAAATAGGCAGCGATTGAACTCACATTATTGATGATCTCTCCGATGATGCCGTTCCACTGCTTCGTGTCCTTGTCCTGCTTTCCGTACTGCTGATCAGCCACCGGCACAAACTGGTACTCGAAGCCCACCTCCTCGGCGATGGCACCAATCAGGTCCACTGCATAGCCCTGGTAGATGGCATTGCCCGTGAGATTCAGCTCCACCGCCGTTTCGTTGTACGAGAAGTAGGGTGGTCCAATGCGAGTGGCCACGCGGTAGATAATCTTCTTCTGCACCTTGGCATCCACATTGCGCTGCGTTATCTGCCCCCGCGGGTCCCACACGGCGATTCCGATGCCGTCCAGGGGATCGTACACCTCAATGTTGAAGGTTATCCGCTGTCCCTCGTCGTCAAACTGAAGGCTGGTGGTGCGAAAGTTGGTGTTGTTCATGCCGGAAGTCTGCCGGAAGATACCTCAGAGATTGCCAAGAGTTCTGGGCCATCGGTGCGGCTCTGATTACAGACACTTACCCCCTTCATCAGGCGCATCAGGTAGCGGCCCATTTGCCAGGTGCGACCTCCGGCGGCCGCAAAGTCGCAGCTCATTCGAGGCACCCCCATCCGGTCGGGGTAGAAGTAGCTGGCATTCCGCCACGACTGCGAGAACAGCTGCAGTGCATCGTGGATCAGGTCGTGGAGGAGAGTGCGGGGGGAATCATTCGTCTCAAAGACGACATTGTCCCGCTGCGTAACGTAGCCATAAGGCAGGGAGTACTGGAAGGGATCCGAACACTGAAGAAAGGGCCATCGAATAGAGGATAATGGACTCACGGATGGTGGTTCTGGAGTAAGCAGAAGACGCGCGGCGGTTATGTTCACCGCAAAGGATTCGTTTGCTGCGGAGAGCTCTTCCAGATGATCCGTGTATGTCTCCAGATTGGTAAGGAATATGTGCTGCAAAGATGCGAAGTCAATCAATAAGCAAACACATCTAAAGGTACCTACATTGAATTGCCCCGTCAGACCAAACTCGGAGGAAGCATTTAGTAGCTCCACCAGCATCCCAGGAGGACAGTCGAGCACCACGCGTCGTTCGCCCCTGATGCTTTTCCACATGACGCGGTAATCGTCGTCCTGCTGGAACTTTCGTACGCGCACCACATCATTGTGGACCTCCCGTAGCTGCAGCAGATCCTGCAGGCGAGCAGAAGCCTTCTCTGGAGGATCCAAGTATTGTGAGCATTCAAATAAAAAGAGCAATCCATAAAAGTCATACTGTTCGTACCGTCACTCGAATCGTAGACAATAGTGAACTTGCGCCAGCCAAAGTTCTGCACAATGTCCGCATAGGCCTTGGACAGTATCACCTGCGAGGGATACAGGTTAAGGGTCATCTGATGGTTGGGTCTCTCTGCCACGTGCTCCTCGTCCGCCACATCGAACTCGATGTGGGGTATACCCGTATTGTTGCAGACCAACGCAACGATATCTACGGAAACAAAAGAGAGAGATGGATTTTCCCCCATTCGCTGGTGCCACAGATTCGTCGAGAAGCTTTCGGTCTTCGGTGTTCTATTTTGCTTTCGTCTTCTACACAAGATCTGCGTCCCTCCCTGGAATGCTTACCGCTCGCCGCCTTTGAACTTGGTCCGAAAATAGCCGCGACACCATTATCTATGAGATCGCAAGCTGAAAGCGAAATCGAAATTGAAAATTCACTCGAATAGAATGCGAATATTCCACATGATTCCCGTGTAGATTCACTCACCCTGCTCCTGCATTGTCACACTCCCATCCTCGGGCTTCAGGCGTTTTATCAGTGGATACAAACGGAAGGTCTGCTCCGACTCTGGACCATTGATGGCACTCACCACCGCCATGAACTCCTTCTCCAGCTCCAGTTCATCGTCGTAGAAGAAGGCACCTGCCGGAAGAAGTGCTCTCTAAAAAGGATTTCCAACATCCCCCACTGCGATGGCTATCTCTTACCAATGTTGATTTGTTGCTGCAGGCTGTCGCACACGAAAAATGCACTCCACATGCAGCAGAGCAGAACTATGCGGTGCGTCCACATTCCTTTTCACGAGAGCTTTTACTCTGGAATTCTCACCCAAACTTGCGGCTTGCAGAGCTATTTCCGGAATATTTCGTGTTCGCTTTTCACTTGAAACGCACCCGTCGGCAATTCCACGGCAACTGAGGGGAGAAGCTCTCTTCTCGTTCCGTTTGAGATCGCCGATGCAGAGGCAGATGGAGAATCCCCGATCAGCTGATTGGAAAAGCTCCCGACATCTGTTGACCTGCTCAATCGTCTACTCATCAGGTGATTGCTGCGGTAGATTATGTGACCAGAAAGAAAACTCTCCCTTGGAAGGCTGTCCATCAGGAGCCACCAACAAAGCGATTAGCTCCCCAGGGAGCCCCACTGCCCCATGGAGCCGGACACAGCTCAATCAGCCGCAGACTTTCACACACGGATGGAGCTGCTTGCTGCCTCTTTTTTCCTTCTCCATTGAAAAGCGATGAGGTGTCAATTTTTCATGGCAGGCTGGTTGCTGCCAGAGGCAGACCTGGCAATAAGACGACAGCAAACGCCTCGCAGTCATCATCGGTGGTGTTCCTATCGGGGGATTTGCATAAAAGGAACATTCGGCATTCAGCCATGCATACTTTTAATGGATGGAAGGAGCAGGGGATGGGACACACAACATGGAAGTAACAATATGGCCGCTGGTGTCATTTTAGCCTTTGCCTCTGTTTGCTCAAAGGATTTTGCCGATGCCGAACACGTTTCGTGCTTTAGCCTGCACCTTTTTGTCGAAATTTGAATAATTCCCCATCTTCTCCATCCTATGCCCAAACAAGGTAACAGGCGAGCAGAGCAGGAGCAGGAGCGAGAGGTAGAAGATGGACCCACAGCTAAGCCGTTAATATTCATTTGCTGGGAGGGATGGGGACGGGATATGCCCCCGATTTCAATATGCCTCCAGCCGGGCGGCTGATGATGATAAATGCTCGCAGGCAACGTCCAAGGGAACTATTCCCCCGAATTGAATATTCACCATTAGTAGCAGCTAATGCCATAATCTGGCGCAGGGTGGGTGGACGCACGCTTTCTTTTTCGATTAAAACTTTTCCACATGGAATTTTCTGCGAGTAATGAAGTCAGAAGAGAAGAGAGAAGAAAACTAAACCGAGAGCGGGCATAAAAAATGGCAAGAGCAAAGCTCTTACAAAACATTTTCTATTACACGAAATATTTATGGTTATCATGCGGACGGCAGCCACAGCCACAGGCACAGACACAGAGCTATAGAGCTATAGAGCTAAAGCAAAAACATGGCCACGTATGAATGGAATGCCCGCCAGCTAGCCAGCAGAGGAAGCGAAGCCAGCATCCACCATCTACCATTCGAATCCCATGCCATGCCAGTCCCAACCAAAGCACACACAACATAGCACAACAAATCCAGATCCAAGCCACAACAGCAGAAGAATCTCCACAAACTTTTGCTAGGTAATAAGACCGCCCCACCGGTGGGGGCATGCCAGGGAGGAGCATGGAGCATGGCGTCCCCCTGGCTAGTGCAAAAAACTTTTTAATACTTGCCATAATGTTGCCAAAAGGATTATCCAAAAGAATGACTTTTAATGGAGACAGGAAGTAAGCGCATAACAGACAGAAGTATTAACTGTTTCCTTCCGCTTTCGGGGAGTTGTCGAGGGGCGAAATGTGGGCTGGCGTGGGTAGTGGAGTAAGGAATGTGGGCTATGGCGAACCTCTACACACATATTTACAAAACTGTCAGCTGCTAAGCGCTCCTCTGGCATGCTCTATGGGTGTGTGTATTCTGTGCTTGTGTGTGTGTTTTGTGGCACGTAAGCTGTGCGGAAATATTGCAACATGCTCATAACGTGGAGACTCCAATCCTCAGGAGTCGAGTCGGGAGTCGGGGGTCTGCGTCTGAGTCTCAGTCTGCGTCTCGAGTCCAAAAGGCTTATAATGATTACTTTTATTTTCCTTACAGGCAGCAAAAAAAAAAGCAGACTTGCCCCAGTGTCGACCGTCGAATGTCAAGTGTGGAGAGTACATTTCTTAGTCCGGATTTGGGATTTGCCACTGGCGGTTCCCTTGGTTAATGATTGCCCTGAGACTCGACCTTCGGGAAATCTAATCCAAATCCAATGAAGAAACGGAGCAGCCTCCATTTGCCCTTCTTCTTGGGGTTTTCCAATATATTTTCCTCTCATTTTGCATTTTAATGAGTTCTTCTTCTGAATTATGAGCCCCTAAAGGGGGGGGGGGGGGGGGGGGGGGCAGGGCGGAAAGGTTCAAGCCGATGACAACAGTGGGTGCCATAATTTTGCATCCTTCCCTTGTTATTCTTCTCCCTTTTGCCGTAAGATAGATGCTCCTTGCTGGAGCAGTATTTTTCTTAGAAAGTATCCTAAGTCGAGTTCAGCGGAGCCGTGTCCTGGCTGCAGGATATTGCTTTAATTGAAATTTATGCTAAATAGATTGACACTAATGAGCAATGGCTCCTGCTCCTGCTGCTAGTGCTGCTACAGCTGCTGGCCAGGTAATTTCACGAGAGGAGACTATCTGCATAATTAAATTGCTTGCCAGCCATCACCTTCGCCTTCGCCTTCGCTGGCCCCGGAGCTGCGGGGCTATACAGTGATGTCAACCGAGTTATTATTATTATTTTAGCATTTTTATATGAGCCCCATTTGCATGGAAAACGAAGCGGAGAGGAGCGAAGCGGATCAGAGCCAAGTGCCAAGTGCCAACAGCTGACAAATGGCTCAAGTTGCGAAGGCTTCCGCTGAGAGGGAGGGCTGAGTGCTCCAGTTCCGTTCCGGATGTGACTTTTGGCGACATGTGTAGTGGAGATCTCAACCACTGCAGAATCGATTCCAGTTTCAGTCCCGTGTGCGAGCAGTCTCTCTGTAGCCCCATTTATCGCTTTGCTTTGGTGACGGAAATGAGTTTTTGTCGTAAACTTTTATGGCAATAAACGTCGCTTGTTAGTCCGGAATCCGTATCCCTCTGCCGCCTCTCCCTGCCTGTCCGTCCCGTCCCGTTTACGCACTTGGCACAGAAATCATAGCCACCAGGGCCGTTGGCGAATAAACATATAAATAGCTCGAGAGCCAAGGCTTTTGTCGTTGTTTCTACGGCGTTACACATTTCCACGCTGCATAAAAATAAGCGCATGCCTGCTATTCAGCCCTATGGAATGGAATAGTGGGCCTTGGCCCACTATGATATGGAATGAGGTGGATCTGTGACCATTTTCCATTACATTTGCCACGTCACGGCACATTTCCCTCGCATGTTCCACTCTCTAACCAGAGTCTATGGCATCTCTCCTTCCGTTTCCGGTTCGGTTCGGTACGGTACGGTACAGTGCGGTTCGGTCGGGGCTTCAGTGCGGTATACTTCGGTGTGCTACTGTATCCTCTCCCTATCAGTGGCAGTTCCTTCCCCCTCTGGAGAGCCACAACCCATCTGGCGCTGTTATCATATTCTGGCTTTTGTTTCGCTTCCCTTTGTGGGGTGTCTCGCGTCTTTTAATTCTTTTAACAATTGCGCTAAAAGTTGTGCATTGAACACTTGGCTGCCTTTCAGCCAACAATAAAAATGGGCACGGAAACGTAGCTGTAAAGTATACCACTCTTGCCGTGGCACACCCCTTTCCCTATCCACACCCCGTGGTGTATGGCATGAGATAACAGAAATATTGTTTACCGCAATGCAATTGTTGCCAAAGAAAAGCATCGCATCGCCCATGAGTTGGGTAGAGGGGTGGTGGGGTAGTGGGGTAGTGGGGCAGGCGCCTCCTTTTCATTTGTTTTACTTTATTCACACCCCGTGCCAAAGTTGTCCGAGAGCCGCAGTGGCAGTGGCAGTGGCAGTGGCAGCGGTAGTATGGAGAGGCAGACGGAGAAGCTGCAGGAGCGTGTACAGCTTCCGTTTCCGCTGAAAAGTTTCATTTCCCACACGCTGACTGAGCCGTTATTGTTGCCACACTGCCGTTGATGCTGCCCGTGATGCTGCCTCTGCTGCTCCTCCGATGATAAAGTACAAAATTAACTTTTGAAATAAACAACAAAAGCAAAAACGTCGCTCTCCACTGCCTCTGCCACAGCCTCAGGGGCGAATGATATACGAGTTGGTGCAGGCTCACGTGAGTTCTCCTGGACTCAACGGGCATGTAAAATACCCCAAGATACGAATACGAGGAATGCATACGGTATATCATTCACCTGCAGCATCAGACCCGACCCGACCCTCATCGAAGAGTCAAGAGTTCTCGACTTTTAGGCACGTAAAAAATATGAAAGATTTCGCAGAAGCAAGCAGTTCATAAAGCGCACAGAAATCAAATCTCTGGGTGGCGCCCCAGGCTGCGGCCGCGGCAGCATCAGCTCATAGGCGCATGCATATTTAATGCGGGGGCGTGCCGCACAATACTCCATTTGCCACGCCCAAGCACAGCCCAGCCCAGCCCAGCTGCCGCCCTGCCCCAATCCGCTCCACTGTGACTCCGTGTGCACACGCCATCAACACGAAAAGCAATCAAATTGCAAAAATTTGTTTCATTTTCTGCGATAACATGACTTGAATTTGATGAATGCCTTGGCAAGAGAGCCCCAATGCCAGCCAAGAGAGTGGGCCTGGGATAGGGATATTCCGTAACAAGGATATTGGCAACGAAAGCCAAATGCCAATCTCGGCGCGCTTTTTACGAGCCCAGGAATGGGAATGGGAATGGGAATGGGGAGGAAGCATGGAAAAAATGTGCAGATATGGCCAAATGAAAGAGTTATGAATCCGCAACTTTGTTGCTCCCCAGGCGCTTCTGGCTCCAGCTCAAGCATCGCCCTGTCCCGCAGTCCGTGTCCCGCTCTCTCGCTCTTCCGAAGCGAGGCGAATGCCAATGCCGATTACTAATACGCCCTGTTGTCCGCTTCCCTTCCATCCTCAATCAGGTCCCGTGCTGAACTCTGTGCTGTGCCCGATCCTCTCCTCTCTTCATGCGCTGCTTCCTGGCCAGGGATTAAAATAAATGCGCCACATTTGTATGTGTTGCACGAATGGAGAGCAGAGTGTGCAGCGATGAGAGCACATCCTGGAGAGGG